GAAGTTAAAAGAAATCTAAATTGAATTCATTTTAGCAGATTTCTTTTTCATTTCTATTGTTCATGCTAATTACTTAGACAACATCAACAAAAAGATATTTTTTTGAACAATCTTTGATTGTAGTCAAAATCATAGCATTTTTGAAATACAAAAGAGGGCACTTAGGAGTATCTTTTTTTTTATATTATTTTTAAAATGAATATTAAAAATGATAAATGTTCTTGAATTTGTAATTATATCATCCTAGGTGGAATATTTCATGCTGTTATATTTAAGGGCACTCGAACTATCTACTTAATGTCTATATTAATTGACAGCAAGGGGAGTTTAGTTTATTATTTAAGAACAGAATCTATATACTTCTGATAGATGAGAAAAAAAAACAATAGTTTTAACCTTGACAATTAAACAATGAAAGTTCATCTGATAAAATTAGCGCGAAATATTTTGAATAGGACAAAAAAAACGCATTTATTTGACAATGATAATGAACAATCAAAATCTTTTGGTGTATTTAGTTATTTAAATAGTTAAAGATTTCTCTGAATAATCGTTTAGAAAAAATATGTTTCTTTTAAATTTACCAATTAATATTAAAGAACAAGCTGCTATAGAACGACGTCGACATCAAGAAAAAGAACGTTTATCACGTATTTTTAATGATAAATATCGAACAATTGGTGTAGGTTAAACAATTCATTTTGAAATAAATTCTATAGAAATATTCAGATTGATAAGATAAGTCTTGATGAACAAGTTGAAGAACGAAGACGTTTAAAAGAATTAGAAAAACAACGAAATAATGCTTTTAGTAGATATCAAAGAAATTTTTTATTTACAAATAATTTAAAATTCTTTAGATCGTGAAATGATACGTAATGATTCAAAATTAATAGATCATGAACAAGAAGAACTTTCTCAGCAACGTCAAGATGCACAAGAATTAAATGAATACCGTCGTTTATATCAAAAACCTGAAGATGCTAAAGAATGGGATTTAAATAATCCGAATAGCTGGAAATATTTAACACCATCACGAATAAATGATGATGATGCTCGTTTAGGTCCATCATCAGGTCAAATATTTGCTGGTGAAGATCTTCAAGGATCTGTACGAAGAAAAGCTCAAAAAGAACAATTGAAGAAATATTTTGATACACAAGTAAGATTTTCGATTGATCGTTAATAATATAAATTTATGAAATATTTTAGATAATGATTAAAACAAAAAATGATGAACAAGAGCGTCTGGCTAATCTTCTATATGATTATAAACAAATGGAATTAAATGAACGAAGTGATTCATTTGAACAAAGTGAAAATGATTGTCATCGAGCAATAGAAATAGCAACACGAAATTATAATGAAATACTTGTACCATTAAGTAACTATGAGAACAAAAGAAGTAAATTATAATTTTTTTATAGGCTAATGAAGCAAAGATTCGGGAGAATGAACGAAAAACACGAGAGACAGAAGAACGATTAGCTGAAATAGCTAATACGGCATTTAGTGATATGCTAACAGAAAATTCAACGGATATACTTGATTCTCGTTGTCATATTATCGTTGACCGATGGAAAGGAATGACTAAAGATCAATTAGATGATATTCGACGTCAACAATTAGTACAAATTGATGAACGTCAAGTACATACTCTTTCATCTGGCACTTCTTTTCTTTTTAATATCGTACTTGTTTTAGAAGATTAACAATACACAAAAAGATTTCGATAAAATCTGGGAGCAATATGCAAATGCATTAGCTAAACAAGCTATAATAACTGAACAAAAAATAGAAGAAAATAATCGACAAATTCGTCATCATTTAGCTGATGAAAATAAAAAACTTGCTAAGCAACAAAATGAATATCAAAATTATCTAAATACAATTCTATATCGTTCCACACCTACTGCTGCTTTTTACGAACAATTTAATACAACTAGTCGATAGGAATTTTAAATGATAATCAATATATTTAATTTTTAACTTTCTTTTTTTGTAAACATAAAAATATAAAATAATGAATTCTATTCGAGTAATGTACTCAATACATGTAAAGAAAAAATCTCCATGACAACAGCGGGTCATGAATAGAACGTCATATAGGAAAAAAAAGATATGCTTCTGATATACATCACACATTTCACCTGCTTTCAACCATTCTTTCCTTTTTCTTCTCGTTTTTTATGGTTTCTCACTAGAATGACAAAGCATTTTTTCTCTGTCATCTATTCACGATATCATATATAAATCTAAAAATTGGTAATAAATATTTCATTATAGACTTTTAGTTAAAAATATTTTTATGGAAAATAAAGCAAAAATTACTTTATATGGTCTGTCGATGTCGACATGTACTCAACGTGTAATAGCAGCATTAACTGAAAAAGGACTTAGTTTTAAACTTGTATCAATAGATTTTGCTGGTGGTGAACATAAAGTAAAATAAAGAAATAAATGAAGTTTTTTTCTTAAAAATAAAATTCATTTTTCTAGAGTAAAAATTATTTGGAAGAGAAAAATCCATTTGGTGTTATTCCTGTATTAATTGATGAAAATGGTTTCAAAGTTTATGGTTTGTCTAAATTATTATTTACTTGTATTGATTCATGTTTTTCTTCTTCTATATAGAATCACGAGCTATCTGTCGTTACTTGGAAACACAATATAAAGGTAAAGGCGCAGAATTAATACCTACTAAAGATGCTAAAGCACAAGGATTATTTGAACAAGCTGCATCAACAGAAATATCTTATTTTGATCCTTATGCTAGTGGTATTGTTTTTGAACGAGTTTTTAAAAAGTAATTTTGTATTTTCTAAAATTTTCATGTATACATCGTTTTTTAATTCCAGAATGAAAGGACAAGGTGAAGCAGATGAAACAAAAGTAGCTGAATACAAAAAACAATTGAATACAAATTTGGATGTTTATGAAAAGATCTTATCAAAACAACCATATTTAGCTGGTGAAGTAGGGAAAAACGATTTTTTTATCTTCTATTAGTAATCAGATTTTATATAGACTTTTACATTGGCTGATTTATTTCATTTACCTTATGGTGCATGGTTAGTTAAACTAGGTGAAGGTAATCTATTCGAATCTCGACCACATGTTAAACAATGGTGGGATAAAATTACAGCAAGAGTATCATGGAAAACAGTTCAAGCAATGGAATGAAATATTTAGTTTAGAGAAATTTCTTTCTTTAAATTACAATTATCGTAAACTATATTTGTGAATCAATCAATAATTAATATATACCTTAAAAAAGTGTTGTCTTAATATTCTTCTTCGGCATATTTTCTCAAAATATACAATTATCTCTTTTACATGTTTAGTTTAGAAGTAATATAATATATCTCAAGTTAATACCAAGACTAAAAATTTTATTCATTGTTCTCAGGATATCTTATTACTTACCGAATATGTATATTTTATAATATTTGAATCTTGTAGAGTAATTTTTATAATATAACAATCGATGATAGTTCACTTGTAATTCTCATTATGATACATGTTGGATGGAGCGCATGTTCTACTTTTTTTCGATGTATATTTATGTGAGAAAGTATAAAATCCTTAGAGAATTAATTTTTATAGTATGTGTCTAATAAATATACTAAAAATAGAATAAGTCAATAGGAAAGAACTTAGACGATTATAATGCTTAATTAATGGAAAAGAACTGGTTACCAACAAAAGAAGCTTGTAATGATATAAAATAATATATAATTTGTAACTACATGTTCACAGAAAATTAATCAATATAAAATGCAATTACAAATGAAAATATTCTTTTGTAGTCATTATTATATAATAAATAAATGAACTTCTTGAGAATAGAGATTGATAGTTTCTTTCATATTAAAAGTAGAAATATAAGATTTGTCTGATCAATACTCTTTCGAAAGAATTGTAAAGTTAAGACATGATTAAATCTAGATGAACTATTCAAATATGATCAAGTACTCAATTCTGCATTAAACTAATGTATACAAATACGTTAATCATATTAGAACTAATAATGATAAAAGACTTGTAAAATAGTGACAAAATCTGCTTATATATTTCTTTAAATACTAAAAAAAACTTAGTTCTTTTCTTATCACAAAAAAAACGTCGTATAGTGATTGTAAAACAGTCTTCCTTAAAAATGTAACAGATATACATCAATATTGTATATGAATGCATATATCACAGTTCCTTTTTCTTCTTCTTTGTTTTTATCAGTTTTCAAATTCCATTGTCGCAATTCTTTCACATGGTTCATTACTTAAATTTGGTGGTAAATCATCAACAGCAAGTCTTATCTCAGAATAGAGAGATAGATTATCTGTTTGATCGATCATACGTAGTGTTTGTTTATCTAGTAATTCATCATGATCTATTTGTTCATAACGATGTTCTTCAACATTTTTAAGCCATTTAAATACACGTAATTTTTTTTGCTGATCAGCATCATTTAGTAAATTATCATCTAATGTAGGTGGATGATGTGGTGCTGCTGATGCTAAGGAAAGATATTTAGGGCTGGCATTTGGTGTCTGTTTAATTGTATAATACTGTTGTGATGGTGGTGGTGGTGTTGGTAAATATTGATTATTTTTTGTATTAGTATGATGATGATGATGATGGTTATGATGAGAAGATTTAGTTGGAACAAAATTTTGTATAGTTCCATAACTTGGACGTAGATGAACAAGTGGAGTTGGAGGATTTGATATTGGTAATGTGGAAGTTATCTGCTGATGTTTAGGACATAAATGTGGAGATTTAACAGGATTTGGAGAATATTGATGTGAATAATGTACTAAAGGCTCGTATGTATATGGAGCTTTTGATTTAAGTGATTCAAAAAGAGCATCATGATGAGCTTGAAGTTTAGCTGCTGACATCATAGTACCACCAGACATGGTTGGAGTTGATGGTGGTGGTTTTGGACGATGCGATGTTGAATAATTTGTATTAGGTAAATCATTATTAGCTGCATTGATTGATGTATATCCATAGATAGCCTGTGTAACTTCTGTACGACGACGATATTTATCAATTTTTTGTTTTATTGGAGCTTTAGCAGCATTATTTGGACGACGTTGATAAAGTTGTCCTTAAAACAAAATAATTTGTAAATATAAAAATTCTATAGAATTAATTTGTTAATGTAATTGATTTACCATGATTTGTTCGATCTTTAGTTACTGTTTCTTGTGTACGAGGAGATTCATTTTGTACTTGTTGTGTATTTGTTCGAGGTCGTGTAGATGTTCCTGAAGTTCGTTGAAGATGATTTGTATCACCTGAACTACTTGAAAAACGAATATCAATTCCACTATCAGTCGATTGTTTTTGAAGTGCTGTTGTATGTTTCGTACTATCCTTTTTAATTTCTTTAGTTTTATGAGATCGTTGTGATCGATAACTAGGTGATACTGGATTTGAACTATTTTTATCTTCAGAACCAGCGTATGCATTCAAAAGATTTTCTGTTGATCGTTTTGAAAGTGCATTATAAACAGAAGACATAGAAGCAGATGGTGTATAACCACCACTTTTTGGACTAGAATTGTCCAAAGGAGTTTTTGAACGTGTACTACGTGAATGAGTTTCATCTTGTATATGATTTCGTTGTTCATTACTACCTTTTGCATATCGTATTGTTGGTAATTGTGTATTATGTACTTGATTAGGAGATGGGTGAACACGATTAGTTGGCAAAAAGTTCGATCGACGAGTCGTGGGAGTTGTTGGTACATGATGTGTTGGTGTTGGAAAAAAAGGAGGAGCTTTTCGAGTACCAGCTATACATAATTCAGCAGTAGTTTCAAGTATATCTTAATACATATAAAAATAAGTTTTTCTAATATGTAGAAAATTATTTTATCTAATAAAAATTATTACAATCAATACATTAATTTACTATTGGTTAAAATAATTCATGTTTTCTTTTGAAATATGATGAGTTTTTTTTTATCCTACATTTAGTTTTCATTTCAAATGAGAGAATAACATCAACAACACGTACGATGGACATCTGTGTTTGTATAATAATAGAATTTCATGAACGTAGGTGTAATATATGTAATTTTAAGGATTCGTCTTCATTCTTTTTTTTTCGCTCCGCACTTTTTTTTTAAAAACTATTCACATAAACGTAATAATAATCTTTATTCCGAAGTGATTTTTTTTCCAATGAATTTAGTTTATTTTATTGAGGTTGTTCAACTGAAAAAGTTCATGTATTTGTTTATATTCATAATATTATTATATACAAAAAAAAAGAAGAATGACAAACTTATATTAAAAAAACCCTTGATTATATTGTCTATTGAATCAAAGAATAATTTTTTAAAAACCTTTTATTAAATATGAAGGATATCGTAAAGATATTTTTTCTGTTTTAATATATGACTTCAACAAAGAAATTCTCGTTATAATTGAAAAAAACAACTAAATTGAATAAATTATTTGTAATCTTACCATCTTGAAGTTTGCCTTCACTATTGCTACGTGAAAGTTGATTAAGGATATCCTGTCTACGACGAACGAGTGTCGAACATTTGTTAGGCATGTTTGAATGATTGTTGAATCTTTTACTTTTAAATTGAAAGGAAGTATTGATTGATTGAATAGACAAGTATCAGTCGTAACATAAGTGATGAAAGAAAATGAGAAATGATAGGAATAAAGAACAAAAATCAATGAGTTTGATGCAGTAGTTGGCACCTATGTGTAGTGATTATTTTACAGAAAGACAAGCAATAACGCGATGCGTATGTATGTATGTATTTTCTGTCAGAACAATTGCAGAGAGACCGTGAAAAAATTTTCATTTTCTCTCTCTCTCTCTCTTGTTCGCTCGTCTCATTCAAAGTCAAACACCTCGGCCGATACGATGTCGTGTGTCGTTTGTTTCTTCGTTTCTCTCTCTCTTTTTTTTTTTACTTCTCCAACTCTTCCATCAAGTACATCTAATCTGATTTTTATGCATCTATCTACATGTGTAAAGATTTTTTTAATTTTTTGCTCATATATTATTTACAATGCAAAGAAAAATATTAGAAAAAAACATAATTTTCGAGAGATTAAGTGTTTAATTAATGGATTCTAAAATTATATTTTTGTAAAAATAGAAAGTTATGAAATTTAAGTGAGAGGAAAAGTAATGAATTAATACTTATTATTATTATATTTTTTACTAGTAAATCAAATCCTCTGGATCGAAGAAGAAGAAGACCTAGAAATGAAGAATTAACGAAATTTTTTGATTAATCACTTATATGATGTATAATTCGAAAAATAAATATAATGGGCAATGTCACCAAATGAAATGTGTCAAAGTTAAAATTCTTGAAAGAAATTCATTTCTATGTCAAATGAAACATATTCAATTGTATTATTTATTTTTTATGGTAAAATTAACAATTGAGATTTTTTTCTCAATGTCTAGTTATTCTACAGCTGGTTATATATATAGCATGATTTAATTGATAGAATCGTTCATTCTATAAATGCGTTATTGATAGGCAAGCGAATCAAATTAGTGAGAAAAATATATAATGAATAGATTACACCCTGTAAAAATGATAACGTACCAGCTTGATATATATACTATAAATAGTACGTTGTTGATATTGTTTATCATTACAAATAATGCCTCGTCTTCCACCACCACCTCGTTTCACACTTTCACCACCACCAATGCCACCATCGGATATCTTTGATAGAAAACTTATATCACAATTAACTTGTTCGTCAATTCGACAACATGGCCAAGAAACAATACTAGATTCTCATTTGATATTTTTTGCAAGTGCAACCGTCATTGCTGCTATTCTTCTATTTATAATTACACTTATTTGGTTATTATCATCTCGTAAACAAAAACAATCATATGATAATTCTAAATCAAAACCATCACAAGTACCTAAATCAATCGAATCAATGAATGATTTATCAACATGTAGCACTTGTTCTTATGAAACTGTATCACCTAATCATACTGGTATTTATCTAGAATCTGTTGATACATCGGCTACGACTTGTTCAACAGATGTAACTACCAGTGGAGTATGTTACGAATGTTATCAACATCATGATCAACAATCTATACCTTACTATCATGTTATTTGTATACCTGATGTAGTACCAAATTGAAATCAGATGAATTGTATTTATTGTTTATTAGAAAAAATGTAAACAGTGATTATTTTTTTTGATTTTATTTTATAAATAAATTAAACTTGTTCGTTCAGTACAATATAATATTTCATCTATCTTATTTTCTAAAGTGATTATTGATCATATCAAATAGATGAATGAGTCATTAGATATTTTATGACACAAACAAATTAAAGAAATGTTAAAATTAATCATCTCTATTTGTCTTATGAGTAATTACTTCTTCTAAAAATCAAAATATTGTGATCTTCATTGATCAAGAGTTGTTTTTTTAGAAAAACAAATTGCAACATAAATAATTATCGAAAGAAAAAGAAAGTCGATATTTGATTGTTTTTTATATTCATACTAAACGACTTTGCATCAAATCTATAGAAATAATTTTCAGAATCGATTTATTTCAATCAACTAACAATCTGTAAAACTAGAGAGTATATATTCGCCTACTTAAATCCACCTCTGTGATACATACATACATATATTTAATATGAAATTACTTGTAAATGTGAAATTAATTTTATGTTGTTGCTGCTGTTGTATTCAATAGGTTCCATTTAACGAAAATAAATGTTATCGAACAAAGCAAAAAAAAAAAACGAAAGAGACGTATAAAGAACGAAAATACCTCATTCACAATTTTGGGTTATTAGTCAAACAGGACCCGGTGTTATTTTTTCTTAGAAGTATATTTTCACGTTTATAATTAAGATGAAGTCAGGTATCATAAATTGGAATAAAAAACAAGTTTTATTTGTATTTATTATAACAATTCGATTGACAATTAAAGGACAGTCATCACTTGGTGCAAATCAGACAATACCTGTAAATTCATCATCAATTTATCAAAATTCAACTATTATTCCAAAGGTAACTAATAATACAATTATAACAGATGCTAATAATACATCTACTAATAATATATTTGCATCTAATGCAACAGTATCATCTAATAATAATAATACAACAACAACAACAAGCATAATGTTCACACAAAATATTAACAACAGTATAGGTGCTGTTCAAAATAATACTGTATTAAATACTCTAAATACAACATTGGTTAATTTAATTAACAGTACTCAATTGAATAATCAACTAAATTCATCATTATTATTAAATAATACTCTCTCATTCAATTCATCGATTGTTACCAACACTACAACTACTACTTTACCAATTCGAAATATTACTGTTAATGTGCAATCTGCAATAAATACTTCTATCTTATATACAAACTTAGATTTGAGTAATAACTCATCGATTAATTCTACAATTAGAAATGTTTACATTACTACTCCATTATCATTCATTAATTCTTCAAGTAATAATTTGACGAACAGAAGTGATACATTAAATACAACTCTAATTGTTCAATCATCAGGCACTAACACGACTATATTATCCAACTCATCATCAAATACTACTCCACCAAGTCAAATTATTAACAATATAACAAATATAAATATTTCATCAATTAATGGAACAACAACTCCACAGCCGACCATTATTCAACAAACAGTTAGTAATTTCTTACCGGTTATACCTTCATCAAACTTATCGAATCAAAGTTTATCTCTCACTGCTAATAATACAGAGACACATGCTCCATCAGCTATTGTTTCTCCAGTTCCACCAGCGGGAACAAATCAACAAATTATTAATACTTCTTTACTGACACCAGTGGCAGTAAATGTTTCAAATCAAAATTTAACATTATCAAATAATAATTCACAAATAGGCACTTCATCAGTATCATTAGCAACGAGATTACCTATGATCACAACAAATACTTCAAATATAAATTTACCATCATTTATAAATGATACAGCAACGCATCCATCCATTGCACCGGCTCTAATAGATTCATCCGTAAGACCAGGTCAACAAACTAATAATACAGTTGCTTCACCATTGACAACATCTAATCAATCAAATCAAACTATAATAATCAATAACAATACTAACTATGCAAGTACACAGTCTAATCTAAATATTTCAAGACAAACTGTAAGTGTTGATCAGCACGGAGTCGATATACTTGCTCCAACACAGAGTGGACCAACTATTCTTAATCAAAGCATGCCAACATCTAATAATATTACTCAAACAAGAAACATATTAAATGATACAACTCCACATCCTACTAATACACTCTCACCATTAAACGGTTCTAATCAAAATCTCTCCAGTTTGTTAAACACTACAGGCCATGATATTATTCAACAAACTATTAATAATCTTTCATTGACTACTCCAATATCCAACTATTCAAATCAAACATTCGCGCTGCCTTCGAATACTACACAACCAAGCATTAACAACGATTCAATACCGACAAGAATACCATCTGCTACATTATCGCCAACACTTAATACAATTCCGTCGATTCCACCACAAACAAATACATCAAATCAAAGTCTATCTTCAACTGACAATACTACACGCGCATCGATTTCAATTAATTCCATACCTACTAGACTATTGCCCGACGTCAGTCAACAAACGCCTAATAGTCTTCCATCAAGTGGGCAACTATCAAACATTTCAAATCAAAGCGTGTCACTTGTTTCTAACAGTACACAAGCAACTATTCCTCTGGGTTCGTTACCAACAATGTTACCGTCTGCTACAGTACATCCAACAGTTGATACACATGTCTCGGCTTCATTGCCATCGAATACATCAAATCAAAGCATACCACTAACTGGAAACGTTACACAAGCGTCCGCTACTTTAAATCCGTTACCGACCGTAGTGCCTGAT